ATGTCTTCAAAAGCGGCCTCCGTGTCTTGATTGGATGTGACATGCAGACGGGAAGCGAGCCCTCGCTGCTGCGGAGAGGCCTGCGAGCCGCTGGCCAGATAAAACGAGGCGGTTTGTGGTCTGGGCCAGAGCTCAGTGCGGGTCTTGGGAGAGGCGCTCCCCTAGGAGTGACTGACCACTTCCAGGCCAGCCCGCCCCCGCCCCCCGCCCTCTCCCCATCCAGATAAGGTTCTGCCCAGACAGTGCAGGCCAAAGGTTTTGTAAAAGCGAGGTTTTGCAGAAAAGACAGCTTTCTGGCTTCCAGTGGAACACCAGGGTTTGGCAGCCCGCGCCCCGTCCTTCAGGCGTCCCTCCAACCCCCCGCCAGCCACTGGGCCAGCCCCACATGTGCTTGGAAGAGGGCTTCCCGCATTTCTATCACCGGTCTGCACAGTGAGTCAGTGACATTTAAGAAATTGAGAATTTCAAGGAAATATCCAGATTTATAGGCTTCTCCAAAAATGTCGTTAGGGCCCCCGGGCCCTCCCGGGCGGCAGTGAGTCCAGACCTCAGGCCTTTCTCCTGGTCACTTGTCCTGCGTCTCCCTCCATGCTGCCCACAGAGCAAGCTCAGCAAGGTTGTGCTCTCCTACTCCAAGTTGCAATCAAAAGGGGAAAAGCAAAGACAGAGGAAGGGATGTGCAAGCTTGTCCAAAAAGTCAGAGCTTTGTGGACATCAAGAACATGCCTGAGTGTTTAGAAGAATAGAGCCCACTGGAAGGGACTAGAATAATCCTGCTGGAAGGACACTTCCTCAGATGCTACTAGAAATGAGGGACCCACTGTTCTGGCCCCTGCCTGGGCCCCGTTGGCATTGGCGTGGGGATGCCGGGGAGAGGCAGGAAGAGCACACGGCACTCCACACTCAGCTCTCAGGTTCCCCCAGGTGCCTGAGCTTCGCCTTGTCCTGAACCGCTCTGTGCCTCAGTCTCTGTATGGGGAAAATGGGCAATAGCGTCACAGCTGCTTCATAGAGTTGCCGTCCACATAAGGGAGTGAAGCTAAGCAGAGAGCTTAGAGTAGAGGCTCACGGTGTTGCCTGATTAAAAATCAGGGAAACTTGGGGCCCTCCCTGGTGGCACAGCAGGATAGAACGCAGCACTGCAAGCTGGTTGCAGCCGCTTCATTGTGAGTTCGATCCGTGGCCCCGGAGGCGACCCACATGGCACAGCAGACCTCTCCTGTCATGCACACTACTCCCCTCAGCAGTGTACTTCATTGATCTGCCTGTTCTGCTCCCACTCTGTCTCTGGTGAAGCCTCTTGCTGCCCCTGCACCTCTGGCCTGTACCCAAGTTCTGTATGCACAAATAAATAAATCTTTAAAAAAGAAAATCAGGGAAATTCGGCAGAGCACAGCCATGTGATCCAGGGTTTGGCATTTGGGAATGACCTCATGGCAGGATGAAAAGGGGACCGGCAGCTGTCTGGGGAGGGTTATGCAGAGGGGTGCATGGGAGTGGGGGGCTGGGCCAGCAGGCAACAGCTCTCTTGTCTGGCAGGTGTAGCCATGGAAGGCAGGGAGAGTGGCTCGTAGCGGCCAGGCCAAGTGGAGACTTGTTTTGCGTTCATTCACTGCTTTCTGCCAATTGGAATACTTGGTTACTGCCCAAACAGGACATTATAACAAAAACGGAAAATTTCAAAACAGAAGAAATCACCTGCAGCCTCCCCACCCTAACAAGAGAACAATTTTCCAGCTCCCCTTCCAGGGCATCATTCCCACTGCTTCAGTCAGAACACACATTCTTTTCTCTGTTGTTCTCTGTCACATGAAGTTGTCCCACGGGCATTTTCCATGATGTTTCACCATTGTTAACATTTATCATTTTCTCCAAAATGAACATAATCTCAGTTTTGGTTTTTTTAATCCTGGTTGTAAAAACGCTCCCTGGTTGTTTGTTTTTTTGTTGTTGTTGTTTGTTTGTTTTTTAAATGCATATGCTGCCAAAAATCTGGAGAAGAACCCCCATTTCCCATCCCGCCCTTCAGCGATAGCCAGTTTGGCATTTTGGGGAACATCCTTCCGAACAAATCCCCAAGCGTTTATCGATGGGCCAATAGGAACATTATTTTCGCTGGCTCTTGAGTTGAACCCCGATGGAAGGTGTTCTTGTTGTGGGCGGGGTGGTGGCTTGGGGACGAGGAGAGAGGGGTGGGGGTACACAGACACAAAACAAAACAAAGGAAGCCAGATTGTCCTGCAGGCTGTTGGAGAGAGGCGAGGCCTGGCCGGGCCATGTGTCTGTTTCCTGGGGCTGCGTAGTACATGCCACAGATGGGGTGACCTCAACAACACGAGGTGTTCTCTCATCATTCAGGACGCGGAGTTCTAGGACCTGGGTCGGGGGGCGCCCTGCCTCTTCCCAGCTTTTGTCCCAGCAGTCCTTGCGGCTCCTTGCCACACATCCAGCTGCCTCCCGCCAATCTTCCGTGCTCCCGTGGCTTGCTTCCCCTGTCTGTGCCTGTGTCCAGCCCCTGCACATGGGTCCGCAACAGTCTGCAAGAACCTTTGTCCAAAGAAGTTCACATTGAGAGTTGTGAGAGCCTAGGACTTCAGTGCATCTTTGGGGGTCCCCTAATTCAGTCTATATATACCATGTGGGGTCCCCAGAGTACTGGAGGAGGAGGCTGGAGTTTGGCTGGAGCAGCGAGGGGACTCCTGAACGGGAAGGGGAGGGAGTGACTAGAAGGAGGACATTCTGAGTGTGAGAAGGGAGATGAAGAAGGGCTTCCTCCGGCAACTCATGCCTGGGTTTTATTAACCTCCCAGCCCTTCACAAGGAGGGCCCAGAATGCATCAGAGCCCACAAGCTCTTCCCCACCGTCACACACCGAGCAGCTGGCAGCTGGGTAGCCGGCTGTCCACTCCTCGCCAGAGTCTTGGTTGGCTGCCACCTAATTTCTTTTCAGCCTGGACTAATTTCTTGCAGTCCTCAGGCTGGCGGGAAGCATCGCTAATTGCCAAAGTCCTTCCATATGGCCCGATATGCCCTCCGTCTGCACAGTGTGCCCACCCCCTGTCCTCTCTTCAAGCGGGCGGTGGTCACACAGCCTGAGGGCCCCGGAGACCACTTCCGAGTTTTGATCTCTTTTCCTCAGGAGCCCTGTTTTTGCGGGTTTGCTCAGCTCCCTGCGCCCCTTCCTGCCAGCTTCGTCCCCAAGGTTGAATTTCCAGAGGAAGAGCAGGATGAAGAAGCATGATGGGAAGGACAGAAACAGCTGGGTGGAAGTCCCCGTGTTGGGGGACACCGGGGTCTAAGCCACAGCCCACCTCCCAAATCCCCCAGCACTGCCGAGGTCAGGTCTGGTCACGGCAGGGCAGAGGGTCACCAAAGGCGGCAGAAGCGTCACCCTTGGCCTAACTGGCTCTTGGGGACTGTTACAAAAGAGCAGTCAAGTGACTGAGAATAACAGGCTTCTGCTCATTAACTTAGGTCCCAGGCAGAGCCTGGCCAAGACATGCTTTGCCACTGCAGGCTTCTGCCTAGTGGAGGAATCGTCGCACCACGCTCTCGGAGGGGTAAAAGCCAGTCGTGGGCCCGCTGCCTCTGCTTGACGCTGCCCGAAGCACCACGTAATCATCCAGCAGTGCATCAACCTGCCCGTCTTTACCAGTTAATTACACGTTGTCCCACACTTCCTCTCGAGTGCCGACAGCCACTTCTGAGAAAGACCTGCGACTCTGAAACCCAAATAATAGAGCTCATGCAAAATCCGAAGGCAAAGTAACAAGGAAACCCAGGTACACCAGGATGAGCCAACCTGTGTGGGATTGAGGCTCTTCTTGCCCAGACATGAACGACACGGGGCTTGAACCCAGTGGGGCCGGAGCGCCAAGGAAGCGGGACGGTCCACGAGCATGATGGGATCTTCGCCCAACCTCAGGAGAGCCATCTTCCGGGCCGGCCGCCAGCTTCAGCTCTGCCCCTTCTCCCATAGCAGCCAGAGCCCAGCCGTGGCGAGCAGCAGCCTGCACCGAAAGGAACTGATGCATCGCACAGATAGAGGTGCTTGTGGTGTCCAGCCAGCGGGAGTTGGTGCTCCAGCGGATGCTGCCAGGGCCGCCTCTCTCTGGTTCCACGGGCTCTGCTGATTCGGGGTCCCTCTGCAGAGCGAGCAGTGGTCTTCATCAGCCCACCTTCTCAGCCCAGCCCAGCCTAGCCAGTTTCTCCTCGCACCCAGCCCTCAGAGAAGGATTCTGACGGGCCCATTCTGTGTCCGTGCTTATACTAGTGACTGCCAGGAAACCTGGTTCCCTCATAAAAGATGATTTTATTATGCACCCTGTCTCCTGTCCCTGCCCCTGGAAAACTTCCCAAAGCCCTAGCTTCCATGAGGAACCCCACTTTTCTTTTAAGACCCAAGCCTTCCGGCATATACTCAACTGCGCTCACCCTAAGCGTCGCGTGCATTCCTTGGGCCATTTCTACCTCATACATGCCTCTGTTGCTTCTCTCACTCAGTCACCCATGTGTTCATAGAGCAAACCTGGCTCTAGCATTGGCCCAGATCTCCAGCGGGGCTTAGCAGGGAGCCTGCGTTTGGCCACTGCCCAGCACGCTCACCGGGCACTGAGGCGACGCAGACCTGGCCCTGCCACTGGCCGGCAGCGGGTCGTTCTGTGTAAGTGTCTTCACGCCTCGAGCCTCTGTCTGCTCATCTGCAAAGCTGAGTCGATGGCAGCAAACCCCCGTCCTCCAGCAGCTGAGGGGACGCAGGACGCAGCACGTTCACTGTCGTGCCTGAGTAACTGGGCATGTGCTGATTTCAACTGAATGAAATATGTAGTCAGTGATTCAACATTTACAAAACAGACCAAAAAAGAAACAGTCTGTCTTCTCAGTGGTTGTGCCTGATGCTCATTCTCCCACCCCCCCACCCCCTCAGAGCTGGGTGCTGGGAGCGCCCCCATTGGGCCGCTCACAGTGTGCTAACAGCACTGTTGTTCCTCTCTCGGCAGGTCCTTCAGGCCGGACTTCATCCTGGTCCGCCAGCATGCCTTCAGCATGGCCCTGGGCGAGGACTACCGCAGCCTGGTCATCGGCCTCCAGTACGGGGGGCTGCCCGCTGTCAACTCCCTCTATTCTGTCTACAACTTCTGCAGCAAGCCCTGGGTGGTAGGTGGCGGCCCAGGCTGACCCAGCGTGAAGTGGGCCCTTCGATGAGTCTGTTCCCAGCACACAGGCCCAGAAATCCTTTTATTTTTTAACTCCTTTTTAAGCAAACGATAAGCCAATTGGGTTATTGCCTAAAAAGTCCGAGACAATCATATTACCTTATGTAATGTGTATTATATTGTGCGCATGTTAATCATATCAGCAGGAAGAGATTGTCCTTACCAATGTCCTTCTAGCCATCTTCATGGCTGTCAATGGCGGGCACCATGTATTGAGCATTTGCTTTTGTACAGCAAGTCCTCAAATAATTCAACATCTCATTTCATGATAACCGGGATGAGAAAAAAAACAAATGGATTCCCAGGCGAGGCGACTGTCTGTGTGGGCTTCACAGGCTCCACCCCTCTCCCCCGACCCCTGCCCCGGTCTGTATGGGTTTTCTCTGGGTGTTCTGTTTTCTTCACACATCCCAGAAATGTGTACATGAGGGACTGGCATTTCTCAGGTACCCCAGTCTGAGCGAGCATGAGTAATCGTGGTGAGGGGGCAGAGACAGGGAGACAGAGACAGAGAAACAGAGAGACAGCGAGTGCCAGCCCCACCATTGGCTGCAACGGAAGGACGCCTGTGCCAGATGGCTCCACCCTCGCGCCCTGACCTATCGGCATAGGTTCTAGTCACCTGAACCCTGAAACTAGAGTAAGGGGATTGGAAAGTAAATGAATAAATACCAGTGCCTTTATATTACAAAGATTTGGGTCTTTATTCACTATTTGGTGCTTTTTGTGAACTGAAACACACCATAGGAACTTGTTTACATCAATTAGCCTATGACCAAACTGGTCAGCTTCTCAGAACCTCCAGGTGCCATTAAATGAGGACTTGCGGGCCCTCCCTGTGGCTCAGCGGGTAAGGACACAGCACTGTAAGCTGGCTGCAGCCACTTCAGTGTGAGTTCGATCCCCGGCCCCAGAGATGACCACATGGCGCAGTAGACCTCCCCTGACCCGCCCGCTGCTCCCCTCAGCAGTGTACTTCCTCAGTCAGCCTGTTCTGCTCCCCACTCTGTCTCTGGTGAATCCTCTCACCACCCCTGCACTTCTGGTTTGTACCCCAGTTCTGTATGCGTAAATAAATAAATCTAAAGAAAAAACAAAATGAGGACTTGCTGTACCAGAAACTGAGGTGCCAGTGCTCATGACAAGAGTGCCCTGGCGTGTGGATCTTCACAGAGGACGAAACTCAGCTGAGCAGTTAAATAACTTGCTCAGGGTCACAGGCAATGAGGCTGCCACCAGAACCCAGAGTCACTTCTTGCTGAGCCCCAAGACTTGATTCGTCCCGCCGATTTTTATTCATTACTTTTATATTCACTCATTTGCTTGGAGTCCCCATTCAACCTGTCAGAGGAGCTTCTCCTCAAACACATCCCCTGCACCCCCCAAATACTCTCAAACCCTTCATGCTGCTTTGTTTTGCAGTCTCCGCCTAGAATGACTAGTTAATTGGTTGATGGATGGACACATTATCTGACTCTCCGACTAAAAGCAATTTGCTCATTAACAAACACTGAGCACCAACTATGCTTCCAGCACTGGTCTAAGTCCCAAGACCACAGCAGGGAGCAACTCAGACCAAAAGCCCTGTGGTTCTGCCTCATGGTTCTGTCTCTTGCGTGAGCAGGGACATATGCAGTCCATTCATGGACGTGCCAGCTGCGTCTCATGCCACAGGCTACGTACTAAGGGGGAATAAAACCAAGAAGGGGGCTGGAAGATGTGGAGGCAAGGGATGTGATGTGGCACAATAACAGCGGTTGTTCTTGTGTGAAATGCTAAGGGCCTGTAAGTGCTATTAAATGTGGTCGAGTTAAACTTGGGAAGGGGCCTGGCAATGATGGAGGAGCCATTGACCAGTGCTGATGGAGGGGATGACTGTCCAGCCAAGGACTCTGGCCTTTCTCCTGTAGACAAGGGACAGCTTACTGGAGCTCAGCTGAGAACAGCCAGCAGCATGAGGCCTGGGTGGTTTTGCCCGACTGGCTAACGATGGCTTACTGGAGTTCTCCCCTCTTCTGTCCTAGTTCTCCCAACTCATTAAGATCTTCCATTCCCTGGGTCCTGAGAAGTTCCCACTGGTGGAGCAAACGTTTTTCCCCAACCACAAGCCAATGGTGAGTGCTCTTTTTTACTCTGCTTATTTGTGTGATATGGAACCAGCGCAGATATCCGTGTTCTCACTCTGGATGGAGGAGGTGGGGTGGGGCGCCGCTCCTGACCACCCAGGCTCTGAGGAAGAGTCGTGAGACCCTGTGGGAAGACTTAGCTTCCCTAGTTGTTGCTGTGGAATAAAGGCAGGAGGGCAGAGGATGATGGTGGACTGCATTTCTGGGACATCTGCAGATTAGGGGACAACTTGAACTAGTATGTTGGAGCAAAAAGTTGGTAAAGATAAAGGTGTTGGCAAAGGAGGATGTTGTTTCACTTGATACCTGTGCAGGGCCTGGTTTCAACTCTCGTTTTAATGAAAACAGTGATCTGTCACTTGCATCGATTGTCAATGCAGTTTCCTGCGTCACTTCTTAGCGTCACAGTTATGCCCAAGGTCGTTTCTGGGAGGTTGCTGGAGCTCGGCTTGGAGTATGTGGGATAGCTCCCCATGCAGAGAAGAGGTGGGTGGGAGAGGTTAATGGCTTTTTGAATGGAATGGGAAGCTCTCCACTCACAGCCAGAAGAAGCTAAGTGGAAGAGTTTTGGGCAAGGCAGTGAGAGACAGCCCTTGATATGGCCACTGACATGTTGGTCATCAACTTCAGTTGGTCGAAGGCATGTGAGGTCGCCACCCATGTTTGCCCTGTGAGAAATGCGTGTCTTGGGGACGGTTGTTCTGTGTGTGGAAGGCCAAGCTCAGGCTGCTGAGCTGGACAATCCTGTTTGGAGACGCTGATGGGTAGGACTGCAGGCTGCGGGTGGAAGCCAGCCAACCAGGAATAGCGGTTCCCATCGATTATGTGTCCCTTATATCTGATCAGGTGAGAATTGCTAGATCCCGGATGTGCTGGTTGGAATAAGAAAGACGCGTAGAACCCAAGATATGCCAATAAAGTACGAACTCCTACTTCAGGATGCTGTTTCGGTTGATACTTGTGCAGGACCTGGTTTCAACAATCCCTTTTAATGGAAACAGTGATCTGTCATTTGCATTGATCGTCAAAGGGCAGTTTCCTGCATTGAAAAGCCGGGGTTTGCCATCAAACCAGCCTGCGTTTGCATCATAGTTCTGCTTACTTACTACCAATAAATCTTGGGTAAGGTGTGAACCCAGTGAGCCTGCAGATGATAGTGGAACAAAGTCATCAGGTCTCTGAGAGTTGACGTCATCTTGCGTCTAGAGCCTTGTGCCTGGCATGTGATAGGTGGTCTAGGCAAAGTTGCTTTAACATAGAGGTAGGAGCTATAACCTGGAACACTGTCAACAGTGGGATGGAAGTTGGGTAAGGGATTTGCTGCCCGCCCCGGGGCTGTAAGCATGGGAGGAGTTCACCAGCTCTCGTGGGACATCACGAGTCCCTGGAATTTCCATGTGGGCCAAGCCAGACTCAGAATTTCAGGCAGGTCTTGGCATCAAGGACTGCTGTCTGCAGAATGCTCATGCAATGGAGATTCTCAGGAAGAAAACAGGAGAGACCAAGTGGGATCCCAGTCTGGGAATACTTGTATCACTAGTAGGTAATTAGATAGAAATCCAGATGCCATACAACAGTGGGGAGGCTGGCCACAGAATCAGGAAGCAAGGTCAAGGCTGGATTGGCAGCCAGGAGAAAATTGATCATGCCTCTCCTGAAATTCCTCCTGCTGGGGGAAGGGACTACGGCAGGGTGGGTCCAAACTGTCGACATGGATGGGGGTTAGTTTTCTCTCACTGTAGAAGGGAGTGGAGGGAGAGGAGGGGCAGGGAGGAGGAGCCAGGACAGGCAGGGCTGGCTGGCAGGGCTGGCTTGCAGGGCCCCCCCCAGGTCTGTTTCACCCCTATCGGCGCGCAGGACACAAGGAGACGAGAGACTGCAGTTCCATTGTGTGATAGAAATAAAATCACTTTACTGTTTAGAATAAAGGACACACTATAAAAAGTGAACATTATGCAACATTACAAGACAATATACATTCACGGAATATAAAATTCATAAATAACATGGAGGAAAACTGTAAACAGTGCTACAAAATTTAGCAACAAATACATTCCTTCCAGATAGGGTTTCCTCTGGTTGGTTTCTCTCCATCACTTCTGGGTCTCAGGGCAGCAGACTGGCTAAGGGGAAAGGCAGGCAGGGGCACGGGAGAATCTGAGAAGCCCCTCCCCGGGAGCGGGAACCCCACCGCGTGCTCCAGCAGCTGGTTCACAGGCTGCTGTTGAACAACCTCCCCTAGTGCCCCGCCCCCACCCCCACCCCCCACCATTTGGTTTCGTCTTTACCATGAGGCTTTTTAAGAATTTAGCTTTCATACTGTGATTTTAGTGATTCTTTGGGCAGCCAGGATCCAAACATGGGGTGTCATCTGGGCAATCATCTTGGCAATGGTCAAACGCTAGAGGACGGGCTGGGGCAGGGAGGGACGCAGTCTCATGGGCATCTGGGTGACTCGGAGACAGCTGTTCCCGTAAGTCATTTGTCTCTTTAATTGCATAAGAACCAGGGGATGAAATGCAGTATCGGGGGTGGTAGCTCGACCATCACTATGGGGTAGGCGGCTGGACGAGGAGAAAGGGCAGGGCTGGGGTCTCCCAGGATCATCGACTCAGTCCGAAGGGACACAGGCAGGATCCTGGTGAGCGCCTTTCCAGTGGGGGGGGCAGTAGAGGCAGCCAGAGGGAGCCATGAGCTCTTGGAATCAGCTTCCATGGCACTGATTTTTGGGAGCAATCACAGCTTCTCAATCGGTGGGCAAAGGGACCAGGAGGAAACGAAATAGGAATGACCAGCAGACTGCCCAGACCAGTCACGGAGCACAGCTGTGCTATCGTCCACTCTCCTTGCGCTCCGCAAGGGCAGAGGCTGGGGGGGTCTCCCGTGCCAGTTCCTCCTTGTCCCCCCAGCTCGCCAGTCCAGCTGTCTGCACAGCAGAAGCATTTTACCCTCCATTCCACTGTTGAATTTGATTCAGGAAAATGGTGGCATGTGGGTTTCTTTTTTTCTCCTAAACACAATGTACACATAGGATAGCCTACACGACACAAGATTTAGCAAAATAAAATGTCCACGGTATGATTGAAATACGGAAGTGTCTCAGCTACATAAATGATTTTAAATTATACAGTAAGTGAACAGGTGAAATAAACAAAGCTATAGCTTAGAGAAAGCTCAACAACCGCCCTCCGACAGCAAGGCTTTGCCCAGGCCCCGCTGTGCTCTGCCCCAGGACCCGACAGGAGAGACAGCAATTCTGCCAACTCTTAGATCCTGCGGGGCAGCCTTGTGTGACTGACTCATGATCACTCACATCCTCCCTCCTGTGAGTGCTGGTGATCCCACGAGAGGCAAACATGGCCAGGTGCCTCAAGGAGGAGACGCTGGTGTCCAACGGAGGGAGGGGACGTGTGAGGGGTGGCTGAGCGCTGCCACCTTGCAAGCCATTGTGGGCGAAATGAAGATCGTCTCCAAACACCAAGCCTAAGGCCCACCCCGCTGAAACCACTGACCACTGACCTCAGCTCCTGCTCACACTGCCTCCCCAAGAGGGCAAAGTTCCCGTATCTGTCTGCCCAACAGTTTGACCACAAGGTGAGAGGTACCAGGGAATGAAATCAACCCCCAAGCCAGGTGCCCGTATTGTCCTCCTGCTCTGGGGTTCTGGCAGACACCGTGCCCTGGCATCGGCGTGTGTGTGCATGAGACATTACGTGTTGTCTGCTTGTATTTTTTGTTTTTTTTGTTTTTTCTTCTCCTGTTTTCCATGGGCAGCTCTGTTTTCTAAAGTGGAATGAACTGAAGATACACATACTAATATAGGATAAATACCCATAATCTAAATAAAAAGACAGAGCAATCAGGTTAAATGTCACCATTTTACCATCCCCAACTCTGTAAAATATACCACCTGCTCTTGGCATCTCACATTCAACGCTAAAACTTAAAATAATTTTATTTAATTGGAAGATTTATATTATAGTTTTATTTAAAAAAAATGTATAGTAACCCTATTGCTGATGGCACAGTCAGGTTTCCCCAGTACCCCCCGTTTTAATTCCATGAAGTGAGGACTTCAGGACATGGTATTCACCTATGGGTGAGCTGGGGGGAGGGAAAAAGCTGTCCCCACTTCCAGGAAAGGTGTCCTCGCTAAGGCAGGACACGGCAGTTTCCCCTCCTGTACCCGGCCCCTCACCCACGCTAACTCTCATGTCCCCTCAGAGCCAAGTCAGCAAGGCAACTCAGTGACGGCCCCAAACGTGAAGCAGGAGAAAAGGAGAGGGACAGATGACCCCAGTTAGGGGATGCTTAGGGTGTTCAAAATTTCAAATTTTAATTAAAATGAAAAAAAGAAAAATCAACTTGGAATGTCATGATTTTCTTCGAACAGCAACAACAACAAAACAGAAGAGATTAAACTATTGGCGGATTTAACAGCATTGAACAGAATTCTGTGTCCTAGAAAAAAATTAGCTTATGTCCCCGTGTGGGTATATGCAAATATGTATACAAACATATCCCCCCCACCCCCCAGGTGAGCTAAACACTACTTTGGAAATAGTATTCTCTACCCAAATCTACTTGGCTATATCTGTGGCTAGTGTGTGGCGTGTGTATGTCTCCAACTTGCAGAAAGGCAAGCTCCTGGTCAAATCTACCAAAGAGTTTCCCAGGAGGAGGTCCTGTGGGAGGTGGGGGAGGGGAAAGACAATGCTGTGTCTTTCACCTGAGCGTCTGAATCAGGCAGGCAGTTTTGCCTTCCAACCTCAGGCAGATGGTTTAAATCTTAACCCACTAAGAAAGTTCTGTGATTCAGGCATGACTACTTGTTCCAGACTCAGAAACATCTGGTCAACCCAAGCATCCGGGGCCGGGGGGACTGTGTGTGCTGTATCACCTCAGACCCTCCCTTCCCTTACTCTATCACGAAGACACAGACAGACACAGTCTCCTTGGACCGTGCAGTAACCTCTCCTCAGTGTATAAGATCTTCCGCGTACCTTGAGTCTATCTGCTTGCTGCCCTTGACTGATCCTGAAACAGATGGCCTTTCGGCAACTTCCTTGTCTGTGTCTTTTACGTGCTGGGGTGGCAGAGAAGGGCAAAGAGAGAAGGGTCTGGAAGGTGTTGAGGTGGGGAAGAAGAAAGAAGGGTAGGTGTTCACAATGCCCGAATGGGATAGTTTTCCGGTTTTTGTTTTCCTAAAAAAATATAGATTATATCATCACGAAGAAGAGGAGGGTACGGTCCTCATTCTTTCTGGCATGGCACCAAAAACTCCAAGGTAGAAATGGGTGATGTCAAAAGCAAAAAAGAAGGGATAGGATAGGGCCAGGAGAATCATTCAAATTAAATTCCATATGACAGCACAGACTTTTCTTTAAGTGTTCCAAGTGCTAAATTTGAAGGTAACAGGCACTAATTTCATGGTCATCATCTGGGAAGCGTTAGTGTCCGAGGGAAGCTCAGTGGGAAGGGAGGGAGGTGAGGTGCGGCAGGGTCTGGCCCTCAGGGGTCGGTGGCATTGATGGTGCTTTTGTCCGGGGAGGCCCAGCCTCGGTACCAGCTGCAGTAGCCACCCTTCTGCCGGATGCAAGCGTAGTGTTTGGACTGGTACCCAGGGTAGCCGAAATTGGACAGCATGTCGGTCCAGAGGCACTCGTTCTTGGAGGTCGCAAAGCAAGGCAGGTAGTAACAGGACTTGATCTGCAATTAGATAACGGGCAGCCGTCGGTTGGTGGGCGCTGCTAGGCGCACCCAGGCCTGATACCGACTGAGCCAGGAATCTGGAGCTGGGGCTCACACAGGTGGGGCCACATCAGTCCCCCAGTGACCACGACAGCACAGAGAACACCCGCTGAGGCAGGCTGAGGGCCCGCTGTGTTTCAGACGCCCTGCTCTGTGCCCTGATGCTACTCTCTTTAATTCTCGCAGCCCTCTGATCTCTCCTGTACAGAGTAGGCAAGAGAGGCTCAGAGCAGGTAAGTCACTGGCCCAGGGCCCACAGCCAGGAAGCAGTAGAAGCAGACATGGAGAGAGCTTTTCCCTCCCAGGTGGCAACAGGCAAGGCTGAGAGAGATCTGCTGTTGGATGGAACTGAAGAATTAGAAAGAGTAAAGCGCAACCCTAACGGCCCAGCAGCCCTGGACTGGAAACCAGACCGAGCAGGCTGTGTGACCCACAACGGGTCATTTAAGCTCTCGGAGCCTCTGCTTCCCAGTCTAGGAAATGGAGACAGTGGTGATGCAGACCACAGGGTTGTAGTGAGGATTAAGGTGAGAAGGTCCCAGCCCCCTCTCCCCTGCACCCCCATCACAGGAAAGACCTGTGCCCTGACCCTGTGTGTGGGGCACAGTCGCACCTGGGCGAAGCGTGACATCTGCAGCATGTGGTCCCGGCCACCCGGCTCCAGCCTGCCTGCCCGGCCGGGGCCACAGGGAGTCAGCTGCCACCACCATGAGCTGTCCACCTGGGACAGCTGGAGGGACCTGTCCTGTCAGGATCCTGTACCTGAATCCCCCAGGAGGGGCTGCAGGTGCTGAAGGGCCCTCGCGCCCCAGCAGCAGCCAAGTAGGTAGCGTCGAGGCAGCTCTCACCTGGGGCCGTGAGCCAGAACACCCCGCTGCCCCGGCCCCCAGGACTCACCTTGCAGTTACAGCCCAGGTGGTACCGGTAGTTGAGCCCCTTGCGCTGGGAGAGGGTGAGCTGGTCCCATTTCTCAACGAAGTTGCACAGCCCTGTGTACATCTTCCCATCGTAGACACGGCCTGAGGGAGGGAGGCGGATGGCAAGGGGAGAGTTACCCTGCCCAGGGTCCAGCCCGGGGGGAAGGCCCTCACCTCCGAGCACCTAGTACTGGCCAGGGACTGTGCTAAGTACTCCACAGCTTTATTTCATCTCCCCCCACCACTGGTAAGACAAACTATACCCCCATTTTCCAGGTGAGGAAAAGGAAGCGCAGGTCAAGCGTATCTGCCGAAGGCCCCACCCAGGAAGGCCTGGAGTTGGGACCAGAGACCAGCCCGCCAGTCCCCTGTCGATGCATTTTGCTTTATGTGGTTTGTTCCTTCCTTACGCGCCTGTCTAAAGTCGGGTAGTTCTCGCAGCCAGACCTCGTCGTGAGCTAAACCGGCATCGGCACACCCTTTTCTTTAGAGTAGCGCTGAGAAGTGGCCCGGGGTCACTCCTCAAGGTCAGCGGGGCAGCTGAGAGTAAACCCCGCCTGGGTGCATACAGCCTGGGCTGCAGCACTGAGCGACACCGACTCCTGACAACTCACTGGACACATGGCTAAGGTCCCGAGGACCCGCGGGGACAACCTCTCCATGCTAGAGTTAGGGGTCACCTGTGATCAGGTACTGGTACTTGTTGACCTCCAGTTTCAGGCCACAGAGACTCTCGGAAGCTTCCGTGTAGATGTACTGCACATGCGGCATCTTGGTGAAGCCTCGGTACATCTGCGGGCGGAAGGGGGTCGTGAGAGGGGGGTCATGAGAGAAGCGGGGCGCAGCTGGTGTCCTCTGGGGCTCAGAGTTCTCTGTCGTGTGGCTCGTCTGGACCTATCTACCCCACCTGGGCTTCTCTTGTCTAAGCCAGGGTCAGTTCCTTCTGAGTGAGCTTCCTGTCCAGCTGGTCCAGGGCCAGGGGCCCCTGCCAATGCACACTTTCCTCAAATCCAACCTTTTCAAAAATCTGTTATGAAAGGGGTCCCACGGCCTGGCCGGGCTGCAATATCGGTGACATCTTCCACTTTCACGAACATTCCCCTCACAGGAACCCAAGGAGGTGGGTATGATTACCCCATTGGACAGACCAGGTCTCTGGCAGAAATTCTGTGAAAGATGAACCCAGGCTAGGTATTCTCGGCACTCTTCATTTTGGGGGTATTGATGAAAGAAGCTCTTTGTCTACCCTATAGAGAGCCTAGAAGCTTCGGTGCAAATTTCACTTGCTAAGAGTGTAGCGTTATGAAGCTAAACGCTATGAAACTGGACTTAGTCGCTTTATCTACAGTGTGAATGAATACAGTGGCTCTCAGCTAGACGCAAATGGACCCCCACCCCAGGAGGTACTGGGCAACATCTGGAGGTATTTGGGGGTGTCACAATTGGGAGGCGGGAGGGGTCTCTGTCGTAGGGGCCAGGCATGACACTAGACATCCTATAATGCTCTGAACAGCCCCCACAGCAAAGAGGAATCTGGCCCCAAGTGTCAACAGCATCGAGGTTGTGAACTGCTCGACTGTTAACCGCCCCTGCCCCAGCCCCGTGACAGCCCTAGGAAGCCTAGGGAGCACCCATCTTCCAGAGGGAGCCCTGGCTCCCAGGGAGGTGAAGTAGATCTTAGAAGGCGAGGTCGAACTCCAAGCAGGAGATTCTGCGCCAGAGCCCATTATCCTACGGACCTCCCCTGGCCCTCGAAAGCTCGTGTCCAGCACCCCAAGGCCAGCACATGCCCTCTCTGGCTCCTGGGCTTCCTCGGCCAGTACATGTGCAGAGCTACCGGTGTGAGCCCGTGGAGGATCCCAGGTCAAGTCCGTGTGTCGCACGAGTCTGTTGAGACAACTGTTGCGGGGGCCAGTGGGTGCCAGTGGGGCGGGCGGGGGTCTGAGGTGTTGCTCCCTCGGTCCCCACCCCCTCCTCAGAGCGCACAGGCTCAGCCCCTGGTGAGCAGGCCGTCCCTGGGCTGGCCCCAAGGGTTTTCAGTAGGATGAAGCCTCTGCTCTAGTTTCTGGCACGCAGTGTTAATTGACTTGCAGTAATTAATAAAAAGCCAGACATCACCTCATTGGTGTCTCATCGAAATGCTTCTCACTCAGTTTAATGGGCTGGTTTTTTCTCCTTGTCTTTTCTTAAGTGGAGACTGGCTGGCGGGGGTAGATGACCCAGCAGGGCCTCTGCCATGAGCAGGGGTCTGTGGGGCTGGGGCCTGGGCTCCCCTGCCTCCTTTCAGGAGGGCACGTTCTAGTGGTAAGCGACTGTCAGTGCGGGTGGGGTTCATCCACCTGGCCTCCCTCAACCGCTTCTCCCAAGAGTCCGGCCAGCTGGACAAGGCCACACAGCCAGATGCTGCGGAACACGGTGTCTGCACCCAGCTTTCAGTTTTGCTCCGGGGCTCCGGGCTGTGTGAGGTGTGTGTGGATGCAGGCGCTCTGGCCTCCACCTTGCTCAGGGGTGCTGCTGTGTGTGTCTTCAGGTGTGACCTCATTGTGCTGGCTTCTTTGATAACAGTCCCATCTGGACCTAAACACAGACGCTAACAGAATCATTACTTCTGTAGTCATACGGATCAAGAGCCGTCTCTATGTGTTGGGATAGGTTTCTCTGTTCTGAAGCCAGAGAGATCAGAGGACAGAATGGGGGTGGGGGGTGGTAGCATTCCAGTTGCCCAGCGGGTGTGTCCTGCCCTGAGTCAGGCACATAAGCACATGACCAGCAGGTCTCCTCCTGGGACCCTCCCAGGACCAGCTGGGTCATCATGTCCTCACATGCTGAGGGGACAGCCCCCTGCAGCTAGCCTGAGCGTGTGTGTCCATCACACAAACTACAGCTCTCGGCGAAGCAGACTGCTCCCTCGGGGTCCTGACAGGAGAGAAGGTCCCTACAGATCACAGTGACCAGTTCCAGGAACCTCCGCCTTTGCATAACAACCCAGGCCTCAGCCTCAGCTTATCTCCAAGTCTGGCTTTGCAGTGAGCTCCTTCAACATTCTAACACTCTCCCTCCTGCCTCCTCTACCTGTGGTCTCTGCACACTAAAGATGTGCCTGAAACACAGGCCAGATGCTCTGGAATTTGCATTTGTCCACCTCATCTGGGTGAAAAGTTTTTGGGGGGATCTCAGAGAGAAGGCAGGGTCAGAGAGCAGCTGGGAGTTCTCATGTTCTCGGAGTTCCTCTAGTCCTGCCCCAGGGGAGCCTTGCTGATAGAGGAGAGGCAGCTCTCATCCCAGGTAGAGGTAGACTAATCTGCTGGAACAAAGCCCCCAGGGACCAGTGCCAGAATACAGCCACTCACTGCCCTGGCCTCCCCCTGCCCTCCGACAGAGCTGTTTCCCAATGTACTTTTTGCAGGAAGTCACAAGCCAAGAACTAAGTTGCTGTTCAACAAACCCAAGGTCACTTCGTTTATTTCCTGGGGGAACTAGATACAAGAGTGTGTTTGTATGGGGGTAGGGGTGGGGTGGCAGGAATGATGAATCAGCCAACTGTTTCCCTGACCTGTGACCTTGCAGGGAATGATGACGGTTTGGCTCTAGTTTGTCATTTTCTTACTCTATGACTTTAATTGTTTTATACCTGCACACACATCTATAGAAAACCTTTTCAAGCCACAGTACCCTCATCTGTAAAACAGGGAGAAGCAGGTGTCTGTTCCACAGGCTTATCATGAGACTGTTGCACGCCAAGGCAGAATGCAGGTGCAGCGCAAATGCTCATAAATACCACGCGTGTGGAGCGTTGGGCTCATTCTCACAAAGATCTTCTTGGCTGTTCAGATGGAAGCAGCGCTCAGTGCAGGTCGGGGGGAGGGAGGGAGGTTTGATGGGCTCTTCTTCCTGCGTCTGCACCTACTCTGGTTCACAGACTGGTACCCAGAGACCAGCAGAATCCAGTGGCCTCTCTGGGTTGAAATCTAGGATTATCTAATATGGGGGGGAGGGGAACCAAACTAATAAAAGGCACTAGATAGTGGTGATAAGTTCAAGATCAATAAGCAAAAGGAGATGGCCAGGAGCTGTGGGGAGTCATGTGGAGACACACGGGATTAAGAAGAGAACTGACAGGTTGGGAACCAGGAAATGCCTGACCCTGGCAAGTCTTCCCCCCCTCGCCCCCCCCCAAGCCTCTGGCTGTCTGTAATAAAAGGGGGAAGGGGGTTACTGTTCATGCCCAGCACGCAGATTCCAGGAACTCTGGTGAGGCGAATGGGCAGCCTAAGGCCACAGGTCTGCATTGTGTTTGTGCTCTGATGCTGATGGGGGTGGCTGTTGTCTGGCCTCTAAACACCCTCCAGGGGCTCATCTGATGCCACAGAGGAGGAAGGGGACATTCTGCCCGCCAAAGGGTGTCTGGTCACCCTGGTGTCCAGGTCCTTGACGGTAGGACAGCTGTCACACAGCTCGGGAGCACTGTCCCCAGTCCTCCTGGCAGCTCTCTGCTGTAGGCAGAGCTGTTCCAGAGATGGCAGGGAATGCGGTTTCTGAATCTCTGCTTTTGTCTAATAAGCGTTGGCATTTGTGTGCCAGCTGCCAGGGGTGGCACCGTGGGTTGGAGGGTTATTGTTGCTCTTGCTGGTTCCCCCTCCACCCACTCTCCTTTCCCCATAGCCGTCTGAGGACCTGAGCTGGTCCCATGACCAGGCTTGGGCGGCCAAAGGCAAAGGGCCAGGGCCTGGTCTGGACATTACATAACCAGAAGGCGGTGGCTCTTTTCAAGGCTGATTCCAAAGCAACAGGCTTCCCAAACTTCGTACATCTAACCCCTAACCTCAGGACATAGGAATGGTGATCTGGGGAGCTTCCAGGCCAGCGGGGTCTCATCCTCATTGCCCCACTAGGTGGACAAGCCCTCCCAAGTCCCGGGGCCTGCCCAGTCCTGCCCCAGTTACCGGGTTGCAGACCTGAGCTTGAGGCTGTCAAACCACTTGGACCCGAGCACGCCCATCCTGACCTCTTTAGTCACACTCTGGCCCGATTGTAGATCGCAAACATTGGAGCTATATCTCCCCTGTGGTCTACACGGCTGCTGCTGCAGAGCCTGCCCTTGGGGAAGTGCTTTCACAAGTGGGGTGATGGACAGCTGAGTTATCTGTGGCAAAGCCTGACCCTCTGTGCGAAGGCAAACATAAGCACCCCCTTCTGGCACCCCCACCTGCACCTACTTAGAAGCAGCACAGCCAATGTCCGCAGCTGCCTAGGATCCTGAAGTGCCTGGGCCAGGGAGCCCTCCCTCAGGGGGGCTGCACCCCACCCACACTGTGGACAGCCGGCAAGGCTGGTCCAGGAGAAGGGACCACTCCAAGCTACTCAGGAGGAGCTGAGACGAGCAGGTTCTCCGCATGCTGAACCTGCTGCTCCTTTCTCCTTTTCTTCCCTCCTCCCTGGGCTCCCGGTGCTCACAGGTTCAGAAGCGTGTATAGTTCCGCAGCAGACTCAGTAAAGGGCGCCAATCACACACACACACACACACACACACACACACACACACTCAAGAAGTCAGTCAAGCTGGGAAGGCAGGGGTGAGGGCTGCAGCTCCTGCCGCAGGGGAGCGCTCTGTGAGCAGGCATTCAGCTGCAGTTGCAACCTCAGTGACTGCACCAGAGCTGGGCGCATTGTGGGTGAAAGAAGCCAGGGCTCGAAGGGCCCATGAGACAGTCCAGTCCAGCCCTCACTCCCATGTTGCAGAAGGGAAGCCTGAGACCTAGAGAAGGCAGTGACTTGGCCAACATCTCGGTTACCAGGTGATGTGGCTGTCTGCTCTCCTGCTCCAGAGCACAGCCTCTCCAAGACAGCCTCTGAGGGGGTCCCACGAGCCTGGCGCTGGGCCAGCAACCCATCGCCTCTGCCCCTGTGTCCCTTGCCGAGACCTCCATGAGACCCTCTGCAGCAGGGCAGAAGGGTGGACTTGGGGCTCACACATGAGCAAACACATTCCCCAGTGCCAGCCCACCTTGCCTCCTTCAGCCAGAACTCCTCTGACAAAAGCACTCAGGAGCCCCCTTAAAGCCCAAAGCCGTCACTCACCTTCATCTGCTTGATGGTGTAGACCATGGTGCCAAAGGGCCCCTCCTTCACCAGCTTCTTCCCCACCACCTTGGCCCGGATCACTGCAGGGAAAGGCAAGACAGCTCATGTTTACTACAGCGAGAATTCTGATGAGATACACTGAAGGTGACGGGAGGAGAAGGGGCAGGCAGCCATAATCGGAGGGAATCACCCCAAATGTTCTCGACTGCCTGCCCCAGAAGCCCCTGGACCGCCCTCCTCTCTGGGAGAGCTTCTTGACTCTGGTTCCACCGTTGGCCCAAATCTGCATCAGCTAGAGCCTCCTGCTTTCCCTCCACTGCCCAGCTGGCCATCCCTGGCCAATATCCTAAATTGAAGGAATCAGGCAAGATACTGCATGGGAAACTCTCGGCGCCGTGGCTTGGACAGAGTGAGCGTTAGAGAACTGTTACTAATGTCATCATCACCATCACCATCACTACATCAACAGTGGAATGTGCTGTCTGTGAAAGGACTCCTACCAGAAAAATAGTTCCCCCTTGGGCACATCTGGTATATAAGCAACACATTGGTTTTGTCTGCTTACTTCGCCCGCATAGCAGCCTTACAAGTGCAGTTAGTATTATACAGATGAGGCAATGGACCGAGGGAGGAACCTGGCCCTCTTTCCAGGCTTTGCCATTAGCTAAGGGGTATATCACCCTAACTCAGGGAATCAGGCTGAGGGTCAAACAAAAGTTCTTCGACAGCACCCAGCCGAGAGGAACTGCTCAGTCAATGTGAGCTGACTGGAAGTACAAAAGTAATTAGACCCCACATGTCCACGGCTGGAAGAGGGGTACTGGCCTGAGTGAGAACACAGAGAAGACGGACAGAACTGACTTTGAGATTAGGAAGCTTTGTCTTTCTACTTTGTGTGAAGGAAATCCCAGGAGCTGTCTTCAAGTGATTATAAACCCAGCATGTGGAAAGTGGAAAGCAGACAGTTCCTAAAGACGGAATTCAGAAATTGCAGAGAAAGTAGCTCTACCAAAGAAAAAGTTTTTTAATAACAGGAATTGCTAAGCAAGGCCCTAGGGGAGGGGCTGCGTGGAGGGGGCTGGATGCTCTCAAGTTAGGACCCAGTACGTACTGGAATGCAGGTTGCAGGCCGTGCAGCCATGCTTTGAATTGCAAATTAAGCTCTTTCGGCTCTGAGGTCCTATCACCCCGGCCTACTTCTCAAGTTGCATTTCACCAAAAGAGAAGGTGCACAAGAAATGATTGTTAAATGCAGTATCTGTACACACACACACACACACACACACACACACGCCCTCCCCATTCTGGCAACCCCAATC